CAGCCCCTGCGAGGGGTTCCTAAGTCTCACCACTGTGTTGGGACTTTTTTTTTTTTTTGGTTTTTTGAGACAGGGTTTCTCTGTGTAGCCCTGGCTGTCCTGGAACTCACTCTGTAGACCAGGCTAGCCTTGAAATCTCGAACTCAGAAATCCGCCTGCCTCTGCCTCCCAAGTGCTGGGATTAAAGGCATGGGACACCACTGCCCAGCGGGACTGCTTTCTGTAGAGCCGCTGAGGATCTGGTTACACTTAACAGAGGTCAAGGAAGAACCTCAGTTATATTATTTTCTCAGGGCCTGAAGTTCCACAGCGGGGCCTGGGAATGTAAACCTAGAGGCAGACTAACCCTATGCCAGCAGGATGGGCGAGCACAGTGCACAGGCGGGCTCAGTAAGCACAGCTGTGGGGAAGTCTAATCTGACATGGAGCTTTGTTGACCTTGTACATCTTTCCATGTGACATGGGTGGTGTATACAGTAGGTGCTCACTGTGTGGGAGCAAGGGAAATCAGTTAGCGTGTGTCTAAGAGAGCCAGGGAAACAGGGCAGACACTGAGCACCGGCTGAGAGCCCAGGTTGTCTGGACAAGGAAGGCAGCACTCCTCACTGGCCCTGAGGACAGTGGATTCCAGCCTGGCGGGCGTTAGGCCCTGGCATCCTGCACACCTGCTCAGTCCGTTGGATTCCGCCCTGCCCTGTGCCCCATCCTGGAGATGGGACGTTGGTTTTGCAACAGCCTTGGCTGCAGCTCCTGGGAGAGAGACAGGAGGGGGGCTTGCCACAGAGTGGGGGCTGGGCTCCAGGTCTTGTCTCTATTGTGGGAGAAGAGGACACCCCCTGTGTGGTTCCAGATGGGGACCCACACCCTGTCAACTGCCAAGGACAGCACTTCCTTCTCATGAGTGCCCAGGCTGGCCTTGAACTCACAGAGCTCAACATGCCTCTGCCTCACTGGTGCTGAGATTAAAGGTGTGAGCCACCACTATTTGGCCCTGAGATTCCATTTTTAAAAAAAAGAAAAGAGAAGAAATCATGGGTGTCTTGTTGAGTTTTCACTGGCATTCAGTAGCATAGATGATACTGAAGTGGGGAACCTGAGGGGCACATCCCTCTCCATGACACCCACACTGTCCTGTCCCAAGGAGGAAGTGGGTCTGTGGCTGGCATGAGGCAATACAACGGCCTCTGGCTCCAGCTATAAGTATAGCTGTTAGGTAGGGGTTCAGGGAGCCACAGGAACACAGCCCACCATGGCCCTTGGCCGACTAACCAGCCAGACTCTGGCTCTCATGCTGCTGGCCTTGCTCCTGGGAGGTGAGTACAGACAGACACACGTCCACCCTCCTGACCTCTGGCCTATCTCCATCATCTACCCACACCTCTACCAGGACCCCAGGAAAAACCACAAAGGTTTATAGTGGCAAAGCTACTATCAGGAAACTGGGGTTCTAAGCCTGGGGGTGGTACTGGGAAGGCACTGGGTCTCAAGTTCAGGGGCAACCTGGGCTAGGTCCCTTATCCTCTCTGTGCCTCAGTTTCCCTAGCCAACCTTGTGAGTTCTCACTGAGGGTCCAAGCAGCTTGGGGCTCACTCCTCTTTTTGTGTCCCAGGGTCGGCACTAGCTTCAGAGATTGTTGGTGGCCGGCCAGCCCAGCCCCACGCTTGGCCCTTCATGGTGTCCCTGCAGCGGCGTGGAGGTCACTTCTGTGGTGCCACACTTATTGCCAGGAACTTCGTCATGTCAGCAGCCCACTGTGTGAACGGCCTGTGAGTCCCCTTCCTTCCCCTCTCAGCCCTCGTGTCCATGTGGCTCAGATCGGGGTCAAGAGGTCAGGTGGGCATTCCCATCCATTCTCCTTCCCTCTCCACTGCCCATAGAAATTTCCGGTCAGTGCAGGTAGTGCTGGGAGCCCACAACCTGCGGCTACAGGAGCCCACTCGACAGATTTTCTCTGTGCAGAGGATCTTCGAGAACGGCTTTGACCCATTACGTCTACTGAATGACATTGTGATTATCCAGGTGGGCCTGCCAGTCCAGGAACCTGAGCCTCATGTTAAAAGTCCTGGGGTTCAGCTTGGGGAAAGTGCACTGCAGAATAGGCTGGGGGACAGGTCTACACTGGGGCAACTGCAGTCAGCACAGTGGAGAATAACCATTCCATGGGCCAGATGTTGAAAGCTTAAATGAGGTAATATACGGAAAGCTCTGAGCAGTATTCAACCAACAAACTGTGATTTGTGCCTTTCCATACAATGACCCTGTAGCTTGGGGAGCTCGGGGGGGGGGGGAATACTCACTTCTTCCTCTAGTTTCTAAACTTTTCCACCACTTGATGGGTGGGTACTAAGGACAGTGGGGAGGGTTCTTTATCAGGTGTGCCCTGTGACCTCTTGGTGTTCTATGTCCCCCCTCCCTTGTGTCCCCCATTGTAGCTCAATGGCTCAGCTACCATTAACACCAACGTGCAGGTGGCCCAGCTGCCTGCCCAGGGCCAGGGTGTGGGTGACAGAACTCCATGTCTGGCCATGGGCTGGGGCAGATTGGGCACAAACAGACCATCACCCAGCGTGCTCCAAGAGCTCAATGTGACAGTGGTGACTAACCTGTGCCGCCGTCGTGTGAACGTATGCACACTGGTGCCACGCCGACAGGCAGGCATCTGTTTTGTAAGTACCTTTTGCAGCAGCAGGGATAGTGGTCGGACCCTAGGGAGGACTTCCCAGTGCTGGAATGTGGGTAGAGGGTGACTAGAAGTCCAGTCTCTGACATGGATGTCTCCGTAGGGGGATTCTGGCGGACCTTTGGTCTGTAACAACCTTGTCCAAGGCATTGACTCCTTTATCCGAGGAGGCTGTGGATCTGGACTGTACCCAGATGCCTTTGCTCCGGTAGCTGAGTTTGCAGATTGGATCAATTCTATTATCAGAAGCCATGATGACCGCCCCCTTACCCATCCCAGAGACTGAGAGACCAACTAGGACCTGTCTGTCCTCCCCTGTTCTCCCTCACTCCCCCGCCACAGACCTCAGACACCCTCTCCATTTAACCACAATAAAAGCAACCTTTGTTTTGTACACTGGGCCTGATGTCTGCTGCCTCAGAATGTAGAACATAGCCACTGCCTCGTGTGAGGTTCACCTCCTGGAGACACTGCAAAGGCACAGCAGGAGGCACGTCTCCCACTTTGTATAAAAGAATGTCAACCAGAGAGGCCCTTTTGGTTTTTCTTCCCTAAATCCCATGTTAGCTAGGTCTCAGCACTTAGGATCTTGAGACAGGAGAATTGCCAAGAGTTTCAGAACAGCTTGGCCTACAGAATGAGAAAAAAATATAGGGGAGGAGAGATGGCTTAGCAGTTAGGAACATCTGTTACTCTCATAGGGGACCTGGGCTCCCATACGGTGGCTCACTACTGCCTATAGGTCCAGTTCTGGGGGAATGGACGCCCTCTTCTGGACTCTGTGGGCACCAGGCATGTACACACACCTCATACACACAATTAAGAAAAATAAAAATAACCTAATAAATAAGTTGGGACTGGTGAAGTGGCTTACAAGGTGGACATGCTTGCCATGAAGGTGAAGGAGAAAATAGACTTCAGCAAGTCCTCTGCACACCTACCCACACAGTACATAAATAAAATAAATAAAGCATACAGATAAATAATAAAAATAGGCAAGCAGTGGTGGCACACACCTTTAATCCCAGCATTTGGGAGGCAGAGGCAGGAAGATCTCTGAGATCAAGGCCAGCCTGGTCTACAGAGTGAGTTCCAGGACAGCCAGGGCTATACAGAGAAACCCTGTCTTGAACAAACATGGTGATGATGATATCCAGTTTCCCATTAGACTGGAGTGGCAGACACCATAGCTATGTCCCGGGTGCTCCTTAAATGACTTCTTTTACCCTCACCCCCTCCCAGGACAGGGGTCCAAGTCTGTGGAAGTTGGGAGTTGTTTACTGAAGTGTCCTATGCTGCATGACCCGGGGTTGTTGCCAAATTTTGTCACAATTTCTTAGGATCCTTTTTTCACAATCTGGTTCTGCCCCAAAGGGTTTCTGACTCTGTTTTATTTGAGTCAACAGCCATGGTTTTCCCGGAACTCACTGTGTAACCCAGGCTGACCTCAAACTCACAGAGATTCTTCTACCTCCACTTTCTGAGTGCTGGGGTTGAAGGTGTGTGACTCCCAGGTGGCTTCTGATTGTCATGAGAGTCCTGGGGCTCAAGATGTCCTGTGGACAACACATCACAACAGCATGTCACCTCTGAAGGGAGAGCACACTGCTCTGACAGGGGGTGGTGGAGCTGGGCACCCAAGCCCCACCCTCCTTGCCTCAACCTCTCCCCTCTGCAACCCACCTTCAGGATTAGCTCGGGTGAGGAGCTTGTGACCTAGGCTCAGCCAATCAAGGCTTTGATTGACATGAGGGTCTGATTGTACAGTCAGGGTCTCCATAACCACAACAGGGGAGTGCCTGGTGAGGACAGGCCTGGATCAAGACAAACCTGAAGGCAGAATTCACAGGAAATAAAACCTTATGGAAACACTCTGCTTGCTGAGGTGTGAGATCCCACAGCCACAGGAATGAGGACAAAGAATTCAAGTGTCCTTCCCCCATCGGCAAGCAACCTTCTCTCCTACTTGAAGGAGGAAGGGGGTGGGGTGAGGGAGACGATGGAGTGTGTTGCTCCAGTTGCAACAGACACCATGGCAGACAGGGTGCTGGAAGGATACTTACTGGGCCAGGATAATAGGTGGTCCAGCCTCTGCTCTCCACCTATGCCTTGTGCCTGCCTATCTTCAGAATAGATACTGGTAAGGGTCCCATGCAGGAGGGAAAGGAGGGACTGGCCCCCCCCTACCCCCCTGCACCTGGCAGGTTTACATAATCCATCCCAGAAGGGCTGACACACTGAAAGCTCAGATTCCTCTTCCCTAGTTGGGACTCTGCCCACCAGGCAGGGGGCAGGAGGCAGGGGGCAGGAGGCAGGAGGTAGGGGGAGGAGGCAGGAGGCAGGTGCCTGTCCATAAAACAGCTCTGAAAGCCTGCCTGGGTTAGTGGCGTCAAAATGCACAGCTCCGTGTACCTTGTGGCTCTGGTGGTCCTGGGGGTGGCCGTATGTGGTGAGTGGACCAGGGAGGGACAACAGTTTGACACAGCAGCCCGTGGGCAGGCACAGCAGGGTCCACTGCAGTGAAACCCGCTCCAAATTGTGAATCTGTAATCTGAGACTTCTGGTTTCAGAGCTTTTATCAACAGCAAAAACCTGCATTTGAAATCTGTAGTTTTTACAAAATTAAAGAACTAGAATTCACCTTCAGGTTAAAGGGCCTGTGATGAGGAACAGTGACCGAGGCAAGCTGTCTTCAGCCTGCCACAGGCTCACTGTGGCCTTCAGGGCCATGGGTCTCCCATCAGGCTGAATTTGCAGGCCCTCGGAACGCACTTTACTGATATGGCTTCTGAGTCTGGGGTAAGCGGGGTGGAGGTGTCGGTGGGTAGAGTAGGCTCTCTTGAGGTGCAGCCCACCCCAATCCTTACAGTCCACCCACCCTCCTCAGCAGCGCAGCCCCGAGGCCGGATTCTGGGTGGCCAGGAGGCCGAAGCCCATGCCCGGCCCTACATGGCATCGGTGCAAGTGAATGGCACACACGTGTGTGGGGGCACCCTGGTGGATGAGCAGTGGGTGCTGAGTGCGGCCCACTGCATGGATGGAGTGTGAGTGGCAGGGGTGGGGTGGGAGAGGTGGGGAGGGGCCTCGGGAGGCTGTGACATGGTCTGAGGTGTGCCCTTGTCCTGTCCCAGGACCATAGATGACATTGTGCAGGTGCTCCTGGGCGCCCACTCTCTGTCCATCCCTGAGCCCTACAAGCAGCTGTACGATGTACAAAGCGTAGTTCCTCATCCGGGCAGCAGGCCTGACAGCCTAGAGGACGACCTCCTTCTCCTTAAGGTGAGCATGCTGGGTCCTTCTTACCGAGTCCAGCCTCGACCCTTCCCTCTGCACCAGAATCTCTGTCTACCACCCCAGTCCAGCTTCAGATCCCATTTCTTGACTATGTCCACTACTGACATTCTGCCCCTCCTTCCCATAGCTGTCCCAGAATGTCTCCTTGGGTCCCCACGTGAGACCTCTGCCCTTGCAAAGCGAGGACCGAGAAGTGATACCCGGTACGCTCTGCGACGTGGCTGGTTGGGGTGTGGTCACCCATGCGGGACGCAGGCCTGATGTCCTGCAGCACCTGACAATGTCAATCATGGACCGGAACACCTGCAATCTGCGCACGCACCATGACGGGGCAGTCACCAAGAACATGATGTGTGCAGAGAGCAACCGCAGGGACACTTGCAGGGTGAGGAACACAACCTGGGTCACGTGGTGTGGGTGGGTGGAGTTGAGGGGCTGTGCAGGCTAGCGGGGGCGTGGCTTGCGGGAAGGGTGGGGTTCAGGAATCTCAGAAACTTCTGGGAGTCACTTTCTTGCTGGCTATTGGGTGGGCATGTCACTCGTGGCCCCGCCCCACAGGGTGACTCCGGCAGCCCTCTAGTGTGCAGGGACGTGGTCGAAGGTGTGGTTACCTGGGGCTCTCGAGTCTGTGGCAACCGCAGAAAGCCAGGTGTCTTTATCCGCGTGGCAACCTACATGACATGGATCGAGAACATCTTGAAGGGTAATGTGACGGCCTGAGGGGACACCGGAGACACGTGGCTCACAATAAATGCAAGCATCTGAACCCTGTGCGTCTTTACTCATAGTGTCTGCTGCGTACACACTCAGAGGTCTGAAGGCAGGAGGTTCCACGCTCGGCCACATGGAGGCGCGCATGCTCCTTTTAGAATCGTGAGGCGGGGCTCACGCCTACCCCACTGAGGTCCTGTTGCACCCAGGACTGTTGTCTGGGCTCAGACAGCTCTTATGATGACCCTTACCATATAAATACTAAAAGGGGAAGCCGAGGCACAGAGTGGCCATGAACAAGACTGAATTCTAACCCAGAGCTCATACTGGTTCACTGAAGATGGAGTTAGCAATGTCTGCAGTGTCACAAGGGCTGGAACCCTGTGGGCGACAATGGGTAGAACCTGGTCCCAAACCCTGTGCCTTTCTACCAGGAGAACAGGACACTGAGGTGAAGGGAGTCTTCTGGCTTCCTGTAGGTATTGGAGACTGAGGATCTGAGAGGTGGGGCCACTTGTGACCCAGCTGTGAAAGGCACAACTGGATCCTGGGTCTGAACTTTGTTTCTGCTAGGCAGGTTCAACTTGGAGTCATTTTTATGCACAAGCACTTATCGGGCACCAACTATGTGCTGCCACCAGGCTCAGGGAGACGAGTAGCCACAGATATAAGCAAGCCCCAGCTCCGTTCCCTCGGGAGGTTAGTGTTTTAATACCACCTGTCCCACAATCCCAGAGTGCTCCACATCTAAACAAAGGAGCCTGTGATGCCACTCAGCTGGGTCTAGCATTTCCCCCAGATGGCTTGATACTCACATCTATGCACGGGCAGCACTCTGCAGAGAGGGGACGGGAGCAGCCCTCCAGGACTGGCAGGAGGAAGGGAGCTTGTGTGTGGTCAGGATGCTACAATACCACGCTGCTAGCTTTTGTTGGCAGAGGCGGTGCACTAGGGGCAGCAGTGAGCAGGGCAAAGGGAAGTCACAAAACCAGTCTCCCAGGCACATGCCTGCCTATTCCAGTACTGGGGAGAAGGTGGTTGAAAGCTGGGATACCCAACCTGGTCCTGTTACCTTGTCTGGCCGTGGCTCACTCACAGTAAAGTACAGCGATAATTCTGGTTTTGGTTTTTGTTTAAATCACAGAGATAATGTTTTTGTTCTAATCTCAGCTGTTGGGCTGTGGGGCTGCACTGGACTGTCAGCAGCTGACTATGATTTGCCTTGTGCTCTGGCAGAGGTGTGGTTTCCCCAGCTGCAGGTAGTTTCTGCAGTTGTGTGACATCTGCAGTTCTGGGGACTTTTCAAGAGGGTATATATATGCTAGGGTGGTTGCTTTTGTTGGTAGTAGATTGGAGCTTGGTCGCTGTTTGAGTAGTCCTGTGCACAGAAGTTATCCTGCTGAAGATCAAACTCGCCCCAAGAAACTCAATGTCCCTAATCAGCAGGAAATAACCTCGCAATGATGTCACCCCTTATCCCTGTTAGTGTTAGGGATTGAAAAAAGGATAGAAGAAAGAAGAACCCACAAAGTAGCCAAGCGGAGGGGAGCATCCTCTGGCGCAAGGGAGACAGCATCCCCCCCCAAGAGCTGGGTCACCCGTGGCTAAGCCCTGTACTCAGCTCCACAGGGTTCCAGGGAGAAAACAACAAAACCAAGTATCAAGAGCAGAGGCCTGGCCACCTGTGGCTGCAGCAGCAGAGGAGATGGGGGATGCTGGAAGGCAGGACCCCTGGGGACCAACAGCAAAGGCCACAGAAACCAGATGGAGGCAGCTGGGGAGGGGACAGAGTCTGCTGTGGCACCTGTGGGGCCAGCAGTCACTTGGTTTCCCTATGTGTGGGTACCTTGGCACAGAGCCTCACCTAGTGGGCAGCGTGGTGGGGACCACGGTGACTGCAAAAGCCTGGTGTACAAGAGAACTTTATTGGGCCAGTCTTCCCCTCCCATAGGCCCCAAAGAAAACTGAGGCAGACAAGCCCCACCAGGATGGGCATATGGACTGTGGATCTTCTGAAGGATGAACACGCAGCCTGGCTCCTTCAAGCTGGCTTGGACATGACCCTGGAGATGCCACATGCCCCTAGAAGGGGCAGACCCAGGCTCCTGGTGGGTATCAGTGCCCCCGTGAGGACAGCAATGTCGATGTTTCATCACAGACAGTCCCCTGCCTCCGTTCAGAGGCTCAGGAACAGCTGAGAGGCACTTTGCGCCACAGCCCACCACACAGGCAGTTCTTGATCCAGCGCTGTTCCCACTGTTTCACAGCGGTTGTCTCGTTGGGTGACTTCAGCATGGTGACACAGCCACACCTGGGGAACCAGGAACTGTTGACACCTTACCCTCCCAAGTACCTGCACTGCTGGGCGAGGTGGTGTGCCCCCAACCCTAGCCTGCCAAAGCCAGGTATGACCCTCCCTGAGCTGCCTACCCCACAGGTCCCAGGCTGTCTGTGTGGCCCGTGTGAGGGAAGCACAGGACCTCGAGCCTGGCTGTAGCCCTCACCTGGTGCAGGCTTTGCACTCCTCGGTGGGGTAGGCGCCCAGGTGCAGCCTCCGGAGGTGGTCGATCTTGGGCTGGCCAGGAGCCCTGGGGGTAAGAGGGGAGTGACAGGTGTGGGACCTGTGTCCACAGTGCAGTGTCAGCAGACAGCAGAGGGTGGCTTCTAGCGTGTGACCCTGGGGCTCAACCATAACACAGCTGATGGCCTTTTCCTGGTGAGATAGGGCCAGTGTTTCCAGAACTTTCCAAACATGGCTGATGGGACAGTATACACACAAGAGGGGGTGATGGCCTCACTATGGGAGGGGCACAGCAGACATCAGCAAACGCTGGCCTGCAACAGGCTCCACTACAGCTTCAGCAAATTGGTGAAGAAACTGAATTCTACACACAGAGCTGTGAGCTCAGAGGTGGAGGTTGGTGGGTCAGATTCCTGCCACACACAAAGTATGAGGCCAGCCTGGGCTACGTGAAACAAAAACCCAAACATCTCAAAACATCTCAGGTGTGGTGGCACATTTCTCTAATGCCAGCACTTGGGAGGCAGAGGCAGTGGATCACTGAGCTCGACGAGACGAACCTGGTCTGCAGATCGAGTTCCAGGACTGCCAGAGGCACCCTCTGTTAAGACCAACAAACCCCATTTCTATGCATACAGCAAAGGCTAGAATGGCAAGTTCTCATCTCACTGCAAAGAACTGGTGACACAGAACTTGGTCATTAGAGACACCAGGCTCTAGAAGGTGCTGGAACCTCTGTAGGAGAGAACCTTGAAGGGAAGTTGTGGTGTGGAGACCTTCAGGGGGCTGCTGGCCGTGCAGGGTGTGGGGGGGAAGCGCATACCTGGTGAGGCCATCCAGCTGCAGGGTGGGGGTGCTGGTGGGCAGAGTGGGCGCCCTGCCGAAGCGCAGGCGCAGGGGCTGCTTGGGCTGCAGGCGACTGACCAGGCCGTCACTGGCAGGAAGCCAGTCCAGGTTGGGGACCAGCAACTGGCTGGGCAGCAGGCAGCATTCATCGACCAAACCTTCATCTGGTTCACTGGCTGGGCCCTCATCACGGCCTATGGAGAGGGGTCAGGGTCACTACACAGAACCCTTCCCAGGAAGCTACTCTGTGACCCACGTGGCACCCACTACAGCCTTCTTGGGGCTCTGCCTGCAGACGTCTCAGCTGTGAATAGGGGCGTGCGTCCTATGATTAAGGACTCATGTCGAGGGTGGGGGGAGTGGCGAGAAGCTTAAATTCTGGAGGTGGGCTGATGGGAGGACGTGAGCAGGGGCTATTATAAGGCCTCACAGCAGATCCACAGCTTGGTGAGCAGCCGGAAGAGCAGGGACATGCTGTCCTGGGTGTCCGAGGTGGCTGTATAGACGGGCAGGCAGCTGGGCTTCAGCAGGCCCCAGATTCGGATGACAACCATTAACTCACGCAGCATGCCCAGGGAGGTCCCATCGCGGAGGAAGCTGTGGCCAGGCCTCAGCGGGGAGCCCTGTGGGTGGGGACACTGGGAGTGAGGGTAGGATGTGAGTGCCTGTGCATGAAAAGGGCCAGTCTCCAGCAAACCCTCAACCCTGAGTGAGGTCAGGACCACAGCTGGCTGAGTCAGGGAGGCCAGAACTGGGCACAGCGCCCTACAGACCGAGAGTGGCACAAAAAGTGACCAGTGCAGTATCCACGGTGCTCCTAGGCACCTGGTGGCGCCTTACCCTGGCCAAGTGCAGCAATCTGAACCCCTGCAGTCTGGAGGTTTTTGAAGGCTAGAGGCCTCAAATGACCCAGGGACAGACAGAAAGGTGAAGTCACTCTTTTGGGGGTACCCCTGCCCCCGCAGGCAGACAGGAGCAGAGGAGTGTAGTGCTGCTCACTGAAATAAAGGTGGTGACAGGGAGACTAGAGGGGAAGCTCCGAGGGCTGGGGCCCGAGTCAGAGGGCGTGGCTGAGGCAGGGGCGGGGCTCCACCTGGTTGGGCAGGCTGACCAGCAGGTAGAGCACGAAGTCTCCCACCCACTGTAGCAACTGCTGCAGTGCCTGCAAAGTGTTCATGTCTAGGACGAACTCTTCTGTCTTCAGGTTGATCATGACTTTGTCGATGTCTGTGGGGACAATGAAGGGTGCTAAGAGAACATGGGTGGGGTGACAACCTGGCTCCAAAACCCCCACAGGTCCCAGGGCAGGTTCCCCCCTACACTGAACACATGCATTCAGGACAGGCGGAGGCCACTCCCATATTCTACAGAAAGGAATATCACTCAGCTGTGAAAAAGCAAGTGACATACCACAGGCAGCCCTAACTGCTGAGCATGCAGCTAGGTCACTCACAAAGACTTTTTTTTTTTTTTTTTGAGGCAGGATCTTGTACCCCAGGCTCGCTGCTAACTTGTAGACTTTGGACCTCTGACCTTTGTTTTGTGCCATATCACATCTGGTTTATGGCGGACAGGTGCTCTACCACCAGGCCACATCTCATAACCAAGGGCATGGACATCTGCACAGGGCTTGAGCTCAGGCACGGAGCTGGGCACCTCCCCAGTACCCACCTCAAGGGCTGGTTTTG